TTCAGGCTGGCCTTGAGCTCACTTTGTAGCCCAGGCTGGCCTCGAACTCTCAAGGATCCTCCTGCCTCAGCCTCCAGACTGCTGGGATTACAGGTGTGCGCCACCACGCCCCCGGCCTCCTGATACGTACTTACAGGAAGGACACTGCGGTGAGCTGCAGACCCTGAACTGGATCCTTCAGTCTCCAGTGCACAGACACCCTGGGTATGCTTCCTCCTCTAACTCTGTGGCTGACCGTAGAGAGCCAATCTTGTAATTTCTTATACATTTGTATACCTTGTCTTGTATCTGTTTCTCTGGTGAAACACGGATGCACTGCCCCATGGGAAGACCCTAAACAGTACAGGTCTCTATTTCCAACTCTCCAATCTTGTGAATTGTGAAATTTGATAATTTTAGTGCTTAAGCTATTACTCACTAGTTTATCATTCTATTGTCCATGGAAACCTTATCAATGGCACTTGGAATGGAGGAACGCTCTGATGACAAATACACAACACATGCTATGGCCAGGGGTCACCCAGTGGAGGATACAGTCTGTGTGGAGGCTTCCATCCACACTGCCTGCGCCTCAGAGCTCTCCTGCCCTTGATGGTGTTCCTAGACCACCATGCTCCACATTTCAAAACAGCATTTCTGTTTTTCTCTTTCTCTCTTTCTCCCTTTCTTTGCCTTTCCTTTCTTTCTTTTTTTCTTCCTTTCTGTTTTTATTTCTTTCTTTCCTTCTTTCTTTCTTTGTTTCTTTCTCTTTTCTTTCTTTCTTTTTCTTTTCTTTCTTTCCTGTGTGCAGTACTGAGGATCGAACCCAGATCCTTCATACTGAGCTACAACACAAGCGTTTCCTTTTGTTTTATGAGACAGGGTCTCACTGTCTAGTCAAGACTGGGCTTGAATTTGATATCCTGCTTCAGCCTCCTGAGTACTAAAATTATAGATATGTACCAATACACATGGCTATGGCTTTGTGTGTGTGTGTGTGTGTGTGTGTGTGTGTGTGTGTCTGAGACAGGGTCTCCCTATGTAATTCAGACTAGCCTAGAACTCATTATGTAGCCCAGACTGGCTTTGAATTTACAGGGATACTCCTGCCTCAGTCTCCCTAGGGCAGGGATCACAAGTATGCACCACCACACTTGGCTCCAGCCATTTTTATTATTTACTTATCTATTTATTTTGAGATAGGGTTTTGCTAAATTGCCCATACTGGGTTTGAATTTGAGATCCTCCTGCCTCAGCCTCCTAAGTGCTGGGTTATAAGCGTGCAAAACTATACCCATGGCTGGTTTTAAACAGCAATTTTGTTTGCTTTTGTTTTTTTTAAGACAAGGTCTTGCTATATGACCCAGCCTGGCCTTGAACTCATAGTGATCTTCCTGTCTCAACCTACTGAGTGCAGGGATTACAGTCATGCACCACCATACCCAAATTACCAATTTTTTATATAACTACCATTGGATTTAATTTTTTTTCAATTCTGGGGATCATGCCTGGGCCCTGGTACATGCTAAGCAGTACTCTAACACTGAGCCACATCCTCAACCCTATTTTGTTCTCTTTTATATATGTTTTCCTTTTTAACATTTGTCAAATTATGAACATAGTATAGACATGTCAAAAAATGAAAACAAATCAGACATGGTGATGCATGCCTGTAATCACAGCATTCTAGAAGGCTAAGGCAGGAGGATCACAAACTGGAGCCCACCCAGGGCTTAGCAATTTACAAAGACCTTGTCTCAAAATAAAATTTTTTTGTCTTTTTTTTTTTTGTGTGTGTGTGTGTGTGTCCTTTTTTGTCCTTTTGAGACAGGGTCTCGCTGTGCAGTTCAGGATGGCCTTAAACTCACTTTGCAGCCCAGGCTCGTCCCGAACTTGCAACGATCCTCCGGCCTCAGCCTCCCGTGTGCTGGGATTACAGGCATGTGCCACCACACCTGGCAAAATAAAAATTTTTGAAAAGGGAGGGTGGGCTCTGGGGATTAGCTCACTGCAAGGGCCCTGGGTTCAGTCCCCAGTACCACAAAACAAAAACAACTGAGCATGTGATGAGAGATATACCAATGGAGAGCTCTCGCTTGCTTCCTTTCCAATATCCAGTCCACTAGTATTCTTGGTTAACAGAGCCTAAATTTTATTCCAGTGGGCAACGTGCCTAGTTTAAAGACTACATTTCCCAGCTTCCCTTGCAGCTAAGGGAGGATGATGAAATAGTAAGAGGAAGTGGATGGGTGGGGCTTCCAGAAAAACTATTTAAAAGCAGCTGACTTAGCTTGTCCTCTTGGTCTTGCTGCTTCCTCTTTCCTGCATTCCTGGAACACAAACAAAGTAACTGGAGCTGCAGCAGCCATCTTGTTGTTTTATTGTTTTTGTTTTTTGAGATAGGGTCTTATTAAGTAGTTCGGGCTGAACTTGAGCTCATTATTTAGACCAGGTTGGCCTCAGACGGGGTGATCTCCCAAGTGCTGGGATTACAGGCAAGTGCCACCACACCTGGCTACAGCAGCCACCTCTGACCATGAGGTAACAAGGAAGGAAGTGTGTGCTAACAGTGCTGGAGCAGAAAGGAGAAGTCCCCGAAGAATGAGTCTGTAGACATTCTGTGCCACCCGCCTCTAGACTTACTTTGTTTTTTAAGTAGAGAACAATAAGCCTGTACATTATGTGAGCAACCATGGTCAGGTCTCTGTACTAACTAAACGCACTTCACTACTTCGTATAGTGTGTAAAGCTCGTTGGCTATTTGCAGATGGCTAAATATGTGATATTTCATGGTTTGGAGAGGTTTGAGGTTATGGCTTGGTTTTGTTTCTGCTCCGCCCGTGGTGTTTATGCAGTTCTCCTCCCTCGTAGCCGTGTGCTCCTCGCATAGCAGATCCTTGGCCCGGAGCAGTGGCAGCAAGCTGGTGCTGGCTGACAGCACACAGGACGCCAGTGCCATGGCTCATTCTGCCCGCTCCGTGGCGGGTGAGTCACGGGCAGTTAAGTGCATTTTCCAAGAGGCTGCCTGTGGCCTTTCCCGCTGACCACTTGGAGGTGGCCCTTGGAGCCGGACAGAAGTATGCTTCCACACACAACACAGTTTCTCAAGTGTCCCGCTTGTAAACTCCAAATGATTTTCCTGAAGATTATGTTCTAAACTAGCCACGCTAGCCGGGCGTGGTGGCGCATGCCTGTAATCCCAACACTCAGGAGGCTGAGGCAGGAGGATCGTTGTGAGTTCGAGACCAGCCTGAACTACAAAATGATCTCAAGGCCAGCCTGAACTGCATAGCGAGACCCTGTCTCAAAAAAGACAAAAAATAAAAATTAAAAAATTAAAAAAATAAACTAGCCACACTTATGAAAACAGAGGCTGAGGTCTACCTGCATATCCCAAAATCATCAACTTGGCAATGAGAGCAGAGTACATACCAACTGCAGTGTGTCTGACCACCACCTATGTCCTGAAATAGCAGTAACATAGCTCAGTGTGATGGCACTGGAATCCCAAGCACTCTGGATGCTGAGGCAGGAGGCTCTCTGTAAGTTGAAGGCCAGCCTGGGCTAAATAGTGAGTTCAAGGCCAGCCTGAACTGCATAGCAAGACCCTGTGACAAAAAATAATGGAAGAAGAGAAGAAAACAGACTCAAACTGATCCTCTCTTTTGGGAACTGGCTGCCTACTGACCATCCATCCCCAGGGTCACTAAGTTGAACATCCAGATGCCATATTGTGGGCATGGACACCAGCTATTAAGTTGCATGCCTCTGAGCAAACTAAGACAAATTACACCCTGTTTAAATTGTTTTTGAAAATTGAGATATAGAGCCAGGCACTGTGGCTGGTGGTGGACGCATGTCATCCCAGTAGTCTGGAGGCTGAGGCAGGAGGATCATTGTGAGTTCGAGGCCAGCCTGGGCTACAAAGTGAGTTCAAGGGCAGCCCGAACCACATAGCGAGACCCTGTCTCAAAAAGACAAAAAAAAAAAACAAAAAAAAAAACAAAGAAAGAAAGAAAAGAAAATTGAGATATAATCCAGTCGGGCGTGGTGGCTCATGCCTGTAATCCCAGCCCTCGAGTTTGAAGCAGGAGAATCGCTGTGAGTTTAAGACCAACCTGGGCTACAAAGTGAGCTCAAGGCCAGCCTGAATTGCATAGCGAGACCCTATCTCAAAACGCTCCCCCCCAATTGAGATATAATTCACATATAAACTCATAATTTTGAAGTATATGATTCAGTGGAGTTTTTTATTTGGTTTGGTTTATGGTACTGAGCATTGAAGTCAGGGTCTTCACACTGAGCTACATCTCTAGCATTCATGCCTTTTTGTTTTATTTTTAATTTTGTGGCAGGGTCTTGCTGTGTCAGTGGGTAGGACTCTTAAGTCACTAAATTGCCCAGGTTGGGCTCAAATTTGGGGACCTCCTGCCTCACTCTCCCAGGGCATGTGACACCACAGCTGGCTAATTCAGTGGTTTTAATAAATTTACTATGTTGTGTAACCATCACTATGTAATTAGCACTGACCTACATCCCTACAGTTCATAGGACATTTACTATTTATTTATTTATTTATTTATTGGTACTGAGAATCAAACTCATGACTTTGTACTTGCCAGGTAGGCACTGTGCCTGCTGAGCTATATCCCCAGCCCATATGACCTTTATAAGAAACTCCAGCCAAGGTTGGTGGTGCACGCCTGTAATCCTAGCACTTGGGAGGCTGAGGCAGGAGGATCACCATGAGTTTGAGGCCAGCCTGGGCTATATAGTGAATTCAATACCAGCCTAAACTTTGAGACCCTGTCTCAAAACAAAAAAAGCAAGAAAGAAAAGAAAAACAAACTCCATATTCAGTGGCAGTAAAGTCCCCATTCCTCCGGCCCCAGCCCCTACCAACCACTAATCTACTTTCTTTCTGTGTATTTGCCAGTCCTGGGTATTTCATATAAACAGAAGCATACAATTTGTGGCCTTAGATGTCTGGCTTCTTTCCCTGCTGTAATGTTTTTGAGGCTTACCCATGTGGTTGTATACAAAAGCACATTTCTTTTTATGGCTGAGTGACATTCCCTTGTGTGGATAGGCCATCTTTGCTTATCTGCTCTTCTCTTGATGAACTTGTGAGTTGCTGCCCACTTTAGCTGTTACCAGTGAGGGCACTGTGACTCTCTGTCTACAAGCTCTGTGTGAGTGTATGTGCAGTCTCTTAAGGCATCAACTGCTGTCTTCCTCTTTTTTCTTCCCCTTTTTTTAGTGATGGTGGTGGTAGTTCTGAGGATTGAACCCAGGACCTTTGTACAGAGCTACATCTGAAGTTCATTTTTTATTTTATAATAGAATCTCCTAAAGCTGGGCATGGTGGTGCATACATGTAATCCCAACACTCTGGAGGCTGAGGCAGGAGGATCATTGTGAGTTCAAGAACAGCTTGGGCTACAAAGTAAGCTCAAAGCCAACCTGAACTGCATAAGACCCTATCTCAAAAAGACCAAAAAAAAAAAAAGATAGGGTGTCCCTGAGTTGCTCTGTTGTCAGACTGGGCTCAAATTTATGATCCTCCTGCCTCAGCTTCCCAGAGTGCTAGGATTACAAATGTGTGCCACCACACCTGGCTTCAAATGTTTTCTTATATCTACTTTAAGTCAGTTGGGGCAGGCTGAGGTTCAAGCACACTTTACTTCCAACCATTTGAAGCACCCAAGAGCCTGGCTTGAGTGTCGCATCAAGGTGCATTCTTAACAACTGTGTAAAATTTATTTATTTATTTATTTTTGTCTTTTTTGAGACAGGGTCTCGCTATGCAGTTCACGCTGGGCTTGAGCTCACTTTGTAGCCCAGGCTGGTCTCGAACTCGAAATGATCCTTCTGCCTCAGCCTCCTGAGTGCTGGGATTACAGGCATGCACCACCATGCCCAGCTACTGTGTAAAGTTTATTAGAATATTCTTTAATTTATTTCAGCAATCCTATGGTTCAGGATTTCTCAGCTTCAACACTACTGATATTTTGGCTCAATAGTTGCTTGTGGGAGCTGGTCTACACATTATGGGATATTTAGTACCATCCCTGGATTCTGTCCATTTGATGCCAGTAATTCTGCCCCTAGCTACACCCCACCTCTGCCAGTTGTGACAATGGAAAATGTGTTGGGAGCAGGGAACCATCCCTTTGAAGATCACTATTATAGTTGGGCAGACATGATTTTACTTCATTTTTCTTTTTTTGTTTTGTTTGTTGTTTGTTTTCTGTACTTTTTTTGGCATCAGGAATCGAACTTAGGACCCTGTGCTTGCCAGGTAGGCACTTATGCCTGATGAGTTATATCCCTGGCCCTTGCTGTTTGTTTTTTGAAACAGGTCTCACCATGTAGCCCAGGCTGGCCTCGAACTTGTGTGGATCCTCCTGCCTCAGCCTCCCAAGTGCTGGAATTATAGGCATGCATCACTATGTCCAGCTAGACCATTTTATTATGAGATTTGAGCACTTGAAGATTCTGGCATCCTTCAGGGATCCTGGCAACAAGCCCCTGTAGATACCAAGGGGTCACTGTGTAAGGCTCCAATGGGGAAGGGCTCTCAGAGAGCGGCCCCCCAGACCATAGAATCTGCCCCATCTGAGAATTTGTTAGACAAGGAAAATTCTCCGGCCCTCCGCAGGCCCACAGAACCAGGCTCTCTAGGGCCAGCGCAAGCAATCAGTGTTCTAACACGCCTTCCGGGGGCTGGGTACACACTCGTTTGAGAACCCCAGCGCCGGGGCCTGGCTAGGAGACTTTGGAAATCCAAACCCACCTGCCGTCGGCATCTGGCGCGGTGCCTGGCGGCTGCACACAAAGCAGAACTACCCGCTGGCTGACGCGTGGGTGATTGGCGCAAATTAGTTCGATCAGAGGGATTTCGACTGAAGTACGGCATTTCGGCGCGGGCTTACCAAACACCGCTTATTTTTACCCCAAATAAGTTCTGGGCGGCTCAGCCAGACAGAAAGTTAAGCATAGAAAGCAGACAGATCCCCGATTCCACTCTAAGGAGCACCCTGTGATTCGCCGGGGCGTTTAAGCCCTGGTTCCCTAGAGCGCTTGCGGGTCTCTTCACCAGGTTCAAGGCGAAGGCACGACTGCACGCGCTGGGCCGTCTCGTCTGGGTCTGGCTCGAGGCCCTCTCGGTGAGCGGTTACTGCGGATTCCATCCCCAGGGCTCCCCGCGGAGCGGGAGCGGGGAGGGGCAAGTAAGAGGGACGGAGACGTGCTGGTGTGCACTGCCTGCTCCCGGTGAGTGTAATCATCCAGTACTGCAGACATGTACTTTTTTTTTTTTTTTTTTTTTT